TTTTTTTTTAATGCTATGAAGATCCTACCTCAAAGGCCTTTTGGCAAACTATCAGGACAATAAAAGACCCCAGCAAATAAAGTATGTCCTCTGTGATACACAGGCCCTTGGCAGAAGGTAGCAATTAATGTGAGCCGCAACACCTAGGCCACATGCACCAGATATGGAATTAAGGTGAAGAGTCAGCATGCAGGAACAAAACGTAGGAGGAATTTCAAGACATACAGGTCACCCAGACAAGATAGCACAGGACAAAGCTCAAGGGTGCCTGTATGGATGCCTGACAAATACACAGAAAGAGTCTGCAGCCAGCACACTCGTATGGCACACAGGACATTCCACACCAGGAAGGCAGAGAGTCACTTAAAGCCTTGCAGTGCAGCTCCAGTACTTTTATTTTACAGACATGGAAAAAAAAAAATCAAAGCTGCTAGCAAGGAAAGCTATTTTGTGCTAACTGGACAGAAATTTTTTGAATACAGTAAAATCATTCTACTACTCTGCCATAAGAGAGTAGATCCCATCAGATTCCTGTCCTTGAGTCTGGCAGCAATCATTTTTCCTAGCCCAAAACCCAGTGAACCATCTGCTCCTCAAGAAAAGGTACTTCCTGCTATGATTAATATACATTTTCCATACATTCTAGTGAAGCCATTTATTTTCCCTAAGGCCAGTAACACGCTAACATAAACTGTTGTCAAGAAGTCATCAGCAGCTAAACCTCACCACAGTGTAATTCCCACCTCTTGGAGGCAAGCACAGAGCCTGGGTGAGTCCTGCCCCCTGTCTCACGTCAGCCCCTACACCTCAATACCCCAAAGAAATGAACACAGGCATGTAAGGAGCCAAAGCAAGGGATACATCCTCAGTTTTGGCAGTCAGGATGCTCAAAACATATGCGACCCATAGTTTAGAGAAGTGAGCATGCTGACAGTGCTCTGATGACAGTAGAGCTTTGCAGGTCATAAAAACACATACAACACTGAGGCAGGAAGTCTAAATGCAAGTGAGCAGGCACACAGATATAATTCTGATGAGTCATGTCATATGAACCTCACAGGTGTGGGGAAGGCAAGAGATCCTCCAATACCTATCCAGCTTGGAAGGAGTCAATCACATCCGAGTAAAGAAACTGTCTCCCCCTTGTACGTTTTGTTGCCTGAGTCATGAGTGGGCTTTTAAAACTGCAATGGCTTAGCAAGGTCTGCCAAAAGACCCAGACAGTGGTTGCTGCAAAACATTATTCCTGTGGCTGATTTTAGTTCTTTCAGACAGGTTCACAGATCCACTGAGCAGGGTAAAGATCTAGGTTGCTTAAGAGAACAAAAAGAGCCCTTTTCTACTCCTCCCTGCAACTCGTTCTAAGCCAACTTAACAAATTTGAGATGCTGGATAGTTTTGCAATGAAGATCCACAGACACAGAGGTCCACTTTGGAACAAGATTGAACATAGAATACATTCATCTGGACCATCTTTTTAAAGCATGATACTTGCCTAATTCCACATTCAAGTATTTTAAGGTTAGTTCTGAAAATACCCTGATAGCTGTAGCCATTAATGTCTTAAGAACCTATTCAACTGCTTTTTTCTTTTTATATCACTAAAGCTGAATCAACAAGATTGCAGAGATCTGAGATAAGAGTGACTGCAGAGCTGAATTTAGCCCAGTGGTATTTTTGTTTAAAGAAACATCACAGAATGGAGAAATGCTGTACTCACAAGTGTTTTGGGACTGCATGAAGGACAAACTCATTAGGCTGAAAAGCAGTACTTTTATCTATGTCTAGTATTTTTATGAATAGCATCTTAACCCATTCATCTGGAGATCCCTTCAGTAACTACTGCTTTCTAAAGAGGTGTTTTTTAAAGAATTTAGTATAGGGAAAAAAAGCAATGCAGCAATTGATAGATATGGAAATACCTGAAATGTGACTAATGAAATTTATACCTAAATGTCATATTTTTACCAACTCACAGAATTACTTCTCATTTCCTACACAGGATTTTAAGAAGTCTCTGCACCTGCCTCCTCTCCCCAAAGGGAAAAAAAAAAATATTTAAAATGCAAGATAAAGATGCTAAATGCAATTCACAGAAATCATAGAATAATTCAGCTTGGGCAGGTCTCTGGAGTTTTCTAGTCCAACCTTTTACTCAAAGCAAGATGAACCTAAGACCAGGGTTTTATCAACTGAGTCTTGAAAACCTTCAATGGTGAAAGTTGAACAACTTGCTTCATTGCTTGACTGACTTCAGAATGAAAAAGCTTTTCATTTATAGTCAACCTAAACCCCTTGTTGCAACTCAGGTCTCTTGTCCTTCTGTCATGCACTGCTCTGAAGAAATTCAGAGATTTTCTCTAGAAATTGCTGGACTACTAGTAGCTGCAGCTGCAGTCACCTCTTCTCTAGGCTGAACAAGCCCAAGTCTTTCAGTCTCTCTTCACCTGCCATGTGCGCCAGCCATGGCCATCTTGGTGACCCTCCTCTAAACTCTATATAATTTAGGAATGCCTTTCTTGTACTTGGGGATCCAAAACTGGACACATTACTCCAGGGGCAGCCTACACAATTGCTGAGTAGAGGCACACAACCACATCCCTCTACCTACATGCCATACTCCTGTTACTATAGCCCAGCAGGCTGTCAGCTGCTGCCTCCGTTGCCAAGGCACGCTCCAGACTTATATGCACTTTGTCTTCCACCAGCCCCATAAAGTTCTTTTCTGCCAAGCTGTTCCCTGGCCTGTATTGTTCCGAGGCAGGGCTTCACCCCAGGTGTGAGATTTGGTATTTGCTGTCCTTGCTAAATTTCATAAAGCTCCTGCTGGCCCTTCCATCCATCCCATCTAGATCCCTCAAATGTGGCTCTGCCTTTAAGTATTTTGACTGGTTCCTACAATTTGGTATCATCTGTAAACTAAGAGCAAGCCTTCCATCATCCCCTCCAGATCACTGCCAAAGATATTCGTTGACTGGTGTCAGGATATACCCCTGTGGTACTCAGTTCAAGCAGTCTTATTATCTGTTCATTGAGAACATATCCATCTGGTACATCCAAACTCTGAGCATTGAACAAGCAGATGGGATTTCAAGGCATAAAATTACAAGTATAGCAGCATATCTGAATTTAATATTTAATCTAGTTATAGAAATCAGCTGTTGTTATTTACATGACCTAACTTTAGCATTAAGCTTAGTCACCGCTGCCTTCCTTTTCAGTCAGCAGATAGAAAAAAGAATCGGTACAAGCTGGGGACCAACTGGTTGGACAGCAGCTCTGCAAAAACAGATGTCAAACAACAGGGTGTTAACAAACTGGAGAAAATACAGTAGTGGAACACCAAATGCCTAAGACTGTTATTTAAATAGCTGAAGGTGCTAGATGACATGCCAGGAGAGGCTAGAGGAACTAGGTTAGGTTACTTGAAAAGGGGTAAACCAAAAGCCAATTGCTGAATTCAACAAGCTAAAGGCGAGTTGTAGAGGAGAGGCGGCGTAAGAGTTTTCTCACAAGTGCACAACAAAGAAGAGACAATTTGTGACAAATTATGATGCTGGAAACTCTTATCAGACATAAGGAAAAAAATAATCAAAGTGGTTTAGTACTGATAAAGGTGCTCAGAGTGGCTGCAAACTCTTCATCCTTGGACATTTTTAAAACAACTGGATAAGCCTTGAGCAAACTGATCTAACTTGGAAGTTAGCCAAGATTTGAATGAGGGGTTGTATCAGTGACTTTAAGAGGGCCCTGCTAGTCTAAATTTTTCTGCGATTCTAGGAGAAAGGCTCCTCCAGTGGGTGATTCATCTTGTCTTAAAATAGGTGTCTAAAATAGATTAGATGAATCACCATCTGGTGGTGCCTGTGTCTCACTGTAAATATTCTCCACTGAATACAAAGGCAACCTAAGCTGACCAGCTATGATTAAACGACTTACAGTGAGACATCTGTAAATTCTAAGAGATAGGACTTGTGCCACTCAAAATGA